GTGTGCTCTTCCGATCTCAACAGAAGAAGATAAACCTTCATCTCCAAAACCACAACGTCAACTTAGAGACAGAGACAAGCTAAAGAGGCCAAGCAGATATGAAGCGAACTTGGTCCTCCTTGAAGAACCTGCGACATTTGAAGAAGCTCTCTCGGGTCCAGATGTAAAGTTATGGCAAAACGTTATTGATGAAGAATTATCTGCTCATAAAAAAAATCAAACATGGATAATCGAGCAATCGCCGGCAGGGAAAATGACAATCGGATACAAGTGGGTCTTCAAGATAAAGACCTCATCGCCCACGGAATCTGCAAGATATAAGGCTAGGCTAGGTTATGCGCAAAGGGTTTTACTCAAAAAGCAGGTATCGATTACGATGAAATCTTCGCTCCTGTAGCACGCTATGAATCCATACGTACTTTATTAGCTATAGCAGCTCACTTTGATCTTGAAATTATTCAATTTGATATCAAGACCGCGTTCCTTAATGATTTGCACGAAGAAGTTTACATGGACGTACCAGAAGGTGTAGATGTTAAGAATAAAGGTGACAAATGTAAACTTTTAAAATCCCTTTACGGCCTAAAACAGGCGTCGAGACAATGAAACATAAAATTTGATAAATTTCTGAAACAATTCAATGTCGCTCCTAGTTTAGCAGATCCTTGTATTTATCGTGGTTATATCAATGATATTTTTGTTTTTCTAGCGCTCTATGTTGACGACGGATTATTGATAGGAGAAACGAAGGATGCGCTCAATGAAGTTCTAGATACATTAAAAGACTATTTTGAAGTAAATGATTGCAAGTTAAATACTTTAGTAGGTATACAAATTGAACGAGACAGAGAAAGCAATTCAATTTTCCTACATCAGAGAAATTACATTGAGCGAGTCCTTGATCATTTTGGGATGGGTGATGCAAACCCTGTAAATGTGCCGATTGACCCACACAGCATCACTTCTATTATGAATAGCAAAGAAGGAAAATGTGATGATTACCCTTTTCGTGAAGCAATTGGTTCATTAATGTATCTGACACAACTAACACGACCAGACATTATGTTTGGTGTCCATTTGTTAAGCCGCTATTCTACATGTTTCACAGAAATACACTGGCGAGCAGTAAAACGTATTCTTAGATACCTTGCAGGTACAATTACCCTTGGAATAAGATATAGTGCGTCAGATTTAATTTTGACTGCGTTCACTGACGCCGATTATGCAGGAGACATCGAAACAAGACGGTCGACAACAGGATACATTTTTACTCTCTCAGGGGGTTCTATCTCGTGGTGTTCTCGAAGACAAAAGTCGGTATCTATAAGTACGACAGAAGCGGAGTACGTTGCAGCAAGCACAGCTGCACGAGAACTAGTGTGGTTGCGACAACTCCTGAGTGACCTTGAATGTCCATGTGTAGAAGCGAGTCCATTGTATATTGACAACCAAAGTGCAATCAAGTTGTTAAAAAATCCGGA